TGTGGTGTACTGTTTCAAAATAAGGCCAGATTATCTCCACTATTGAGAGTGAAAAAAGTTGGTAATGCCCAGCAGCCTGGTCTTTTGTTACGAGTACGATCTTTTGTTACAAGGCCCAGTTCCCTTTGTCCAATTTCGGAGACCCTGGCCACGCGTATAATCAATACGTGTCCGGTACCGGAAACCCCAACGGCAAGTGGTTAAGGCATGTGGATGCAACCACACACCTCTAATCAGAGATGGGATAACTCGCAATATTTAAACAACAAAGCCACTACAATGTGCAAGAGCCAACAACCTGTTTTCTTCTAAATAGGATATGAGAAATGTAACTAAGTAAGGATGCATGAAGTAAAAGCAAGATGAACATCTTTTATTTCCTGCCATCATTTGCATTTTGCTGTTATGTGGTAATTTGGTGTATTTCGAAGCATCTAATCATGATGCCATACCCATTAAGTGGCAATCGACACCTTGACCATATGTGTGTATCCTTGGTAATAAAGTAAGCTTTTGCTCTGGTTAATCTCACCTGCTCCATAGGCCACAGCCTCGTCTGGGTTGATGCTCTTGTTCAGCTCCTTGCCATCGAAGAAGTCCTGCAACAGCTTCTGGATCTTGGGGATACGAGTAGAGCCCCCGACCAGCACCACATCGTCAATATCCTTCTTCTCCTTTGAGGCATCAGAGAGGGCCTTGGCCACGGGGCCCAGGGTGCCTCGGAACAGGTGGCCGTTCAGCTCATCAAAGCGGGCCCGGGTGATGGAGGTGTAGAAGTCGATGCCCTCGAACAGTGAGTCAATCTCGACACTGGGGGGTGAGGGGGAGGAGGGGAAGAGAACAAGGTAGTTAGATTTACAAGACGCATTATTCAGAGTGCTAGCACTTTCATGGTCCTAAAACTCTGGCAGGGAAAAATCAACTATGGGGCAGCGCGGACATCCAGGAGTTTTTAAAAATTGTTGGTAGTAACCACACTGCACCAATGAAGACTACTGCCAGGAGTGCACGAGTATGTCCTGATCAAAGAGAAGATGGTGTAACTTGATCCTTGGACTGGCTGGTGTGCAAGTACATCGCCATGGTCGCTGTTTTCACCAGCATGGTACCTGCTATTTTACAAGAATCTTGGAAGTCCGTGCTGCTCCTTTGGGAGACTTACAGCCATTCTGTATTGAAGGGTCTTCAGTAAGACATGATCAAATGGATGTCCTAGATGTACAAACTGCTATCTAAACGACAATGGGAAAACTCAAATATCTCTCAAATGCTTCCAGCAATCCACACAGATCTGTACCATGTTTCATAGTAAGTGATTTCACTCCCCCCCCCCAAAAAGGATTAATATAACCCTGCCCCCAAAATGACTACTCACGTTTCCTTTAAAGTTATTTTTACTCAGTTTAGGCAGCAATGCTGCTACCTTTCACTCAGAATTCCTTGTGATTCAGTGCTGGGCAAAATTGTTTTCTGAACTACGTTCACACCCTTCTGCATGACATCTTGGATGACAGAGGTTGCATCTAACTATTTTCCTTTACTTTGTTTTTCAAACTAGAAATGAAACTCTTTAGGTAAGTACTTGGCTTGTGAGCTGGAAGATAGAGTCCTCTTAGCACGCTCACAGGCAGTGCGCAACCTTCTCAGAGCCCGTTTGTTGGTTGTAATGTTCTTCTTGTGCTTGCGCTTGAACTCCTCCACAAAGTGGTTGACGAGGTTGTTGTCAAAGTCCTCGCCCCCCAAGTGAGTGTCGCCGTTGGTCGACTTGACTTCAAAGATGCCGTCCTCAATGACCAGCACAGACACATCAAAGGTGCCGCCTCCTAAGTCAAAGATCAGGACATTTCGCTCCTTGCCGACCTATTCAAAACAGTGAAGATAAAATGCCTTACAGGGCAAAAAAAACACAAAAGAAAGGGCTGCCGGTGAGCCAAGGGTAGCTGAACAAATATTTGCCAATGTCTTACCCAGACCAGCCATCTAACGGCAGTGTGGGATGGAGGACACCTGGCTTATCCCTTTGATGTTGGCACATTGATTTTGACCAGGACCCTTGATTGATAATCCAGGCCAATTTTCAGAATGTGCCACAAACACACATTACTCTGCTATCTGGAAGAACTACTTACAGCAACGTTGGCTTAGTTAAAACCTTGCAAACATGTACAATGGGAGCAAATTGGCCAACCACATTTTAAACTCCAGCGCTGCCAATAATGCTACGGCACTCTCACCTTTTTATCCAGACCGTACGCAATGGCAGCTGCGGTGGGCTCATTGATGATACGCAAGACATTGAGGCCAGAGATGGCACCAGCATCTTTTGTAGCTTGGCGCTGGGAGTCATTGAAGTAAGCCGGGACGGTGATCACAGCATTATTGACACTCTGGAAGAGAAAGGGGCTTCATTCTTACAGGTGGACAAATACATCCATTCATATGCAGCAAGGTATGAGGCGGAGAGACCCCTCCCGCCCGCTTTGTGTTGGTCATTGTCTTGCAGGAATCTGGGGAATTCCTTTCAGACATCTTGGGGGATGTGTTAAGTAACAATAGTCTGGACTGTGTATAGGGATAGGACATGTTTGGGGGGTACCCCTCAGTCTCATTTCTTGCTGGGTATACATCCATTTCATTTCCTTGTCTAGTTCCTTGAATTACACTTGTCTAGTCAGAACTGGTGAGTGGTAAATCACAGCAAGTTAGGGAATGCTGATGCAAATGAACGGATGCTGCACAAATACAGAGAACCAATGACTAGCACTGTGAACTCCATGATTTGTTATCATTGGTAACCTGTTTCTGCTTATCCAATTTTCTCTACGAAAAGCAAATGTCTGTCCATGAAAATGGCTCCCCGTGTTTCTTCATTCAAACATTTCAATCTTTTTCTTGATTACACAGAAAAAAAAACAACAAAACTGCTCTGACCTTGCCAAGGAAAGCCTCGGCTGTCTGCTTCATTTTAACGAGCACCATGGAGCTGATTTCTTCCGGGTAGAATGTCTTGGTCTCCCCCTTGTACTCCACCTTGATCTTCGGCTTACTCCCGTCGTTGATGACTTGAAATGGCCAATGTTTCATATCGGCCTGCACGGACGGGTCTTCAAATCTGCGACCAATCAGACGCTTGGCATCTACAGAAGCAAAGGAGAAAATTTGGTGACGGAGGATGAACTTTTGAATGGGAAGATAAAAATCCACCATATCCAATTAAACAGGTGGTAACAAGGGAAATGGAGGTATCCTCGTCAAGAGCAGGGTGACTGGTGCTCTAAACTGCATTTTTGTTGCACAAATCCTGTTTCAACTACGGAACAACTTTAATACATTTTGCTTCTGACTTCACTGTTTGTCATGCAGTGGCTGCCGACAGAAAAAAAATGAACAAAGGTTTGGGGCACATGATTTTCAAACAGAAGTTAGAGACACAATATCACCAAAAGCTATACAAGAAGACTTTCTTATATTTCTATTTAAATATGTCATTTGTAAAACACAAGTTTGCTTTAAAAGCTTTATTTCTTTTCACAAGTGGAATTCTGTCAATCGCCTGAAGTGGAAAATAACTGATTCACAAGTTACTTTTTAACAGTATAATCCAGGCGAGAGTAAGGTTCAGCCCAGCCACTATCAATTTAAAACGGGCTTACTACCCCCCCCCGGGTCTTAAGTTACAAAGGATGTGAGAGTAGTTTCCTGCAGAGTAAAGGACTTTGCAGGATTCAGGAAAGTTCTGCAGGACTTACCAAACACTGTGTTGCTTGGGTTCATGGCTACCTGGTTCTTGGCTGCATCTCCGATGAGACGCTCTGTGTCGGTGAAGGCCACATAGCTTGGGGTGGTCCGGTTGCCTTGGTCGTTGGCAATGATCTCCACTTTGCCGTGCTGGAAAACCCCGACACAGGAATAGGTGGTGCCAAGATCAATGCCCACGGCTGGAGCAGTCATTTTAATCTCTGAACAATTGCAAAAAAAGCAAACAAAAAACTTGTCACGGATCATTCCTTTTATAAACCTTAACCCCATAGCTGTGGAACTGGAAACTCAACCTACCAACTGTAAACAGATTCAAGCATGTCACTGTAATTACTGGTAAATGAGTCCAACAATTTAACTCCAACAAGTCAACATTGTGGGAGGTTGACTCATCTAGTATGTATCGGTCTATGCAGTATTACAGGGACTTCCACAGTAGAAGTACCATACTTGAGAAACTCGGGCACAATCCAGCACACAGTACACTAGCTAGTCACTCCACAGAACCATCCCTCATGTGTCCCCACTCAAACAAAATCCAACACCATTGCCCTTAGGCCTTTGTACGTCAATCCAACAAAGTTAAACATGTATGGAACCCATTAGCCAAGGCTTGACAAAATCAACTGTTCAAGGGGTTTGGGTAGTTAGGTTAATTAATGATGTGTATCAGTTTGATATCCTAACTAAAGTTCCACTTTGACAACATTGGGATCCACATCTAATGCAGTTCAAAAATTTTTCCATGGGATTACATCACGAGGTTGAATTCACAGAGAGTTTTCGTAAGGCACTCTGATTCACTAGTTAAAGTTGCACAAATCAAACTAGTTTTCAATTGGACTATTGCTAAATAGAAATTTATACATTTTCATCGCCAATGAGTGTCCATGAGAGTTAATATTTGGACCTTTTCTTTGACACCAGAAAAATACTGCCCTGTATTGTCAAATTAACAAGAAGATTCATTGTTCAGTGCACACATGTGTACGCCTCTGACGTTAACACACACCTACATGACCTTGTCGCATAAAAAGTTTATTGACTTTAGGAAGTTCTGAACGGACAACGTGCAGCCTCGCCTCACACACATTTCACATCTGGGGAATTCCCATACCTACTGTGTAATTCCCCACAGCAGCAAGACTGTTCCTGGAAACTCTACCCAGTGACAATTCTCCACCAACAAATTAATAACCAATACTGCATGTACTGGTGCATACATGTACACGTATGTATTTTGTGTTATTATTTTACACATCTGCTGTTATGGTAGTCCCATAAATGCAGACTAGTCCTTACATATATGTGACCCACTCTGCAAAAAAGGGTATCAAGTCGCGCAATGCCAAAACACGTACTGGCCTATTCTATTTGAAGAGGGCAAAATTTCTTCCAAAAATGTGTTTTTTTCCTTAAATAGCTTCTTTAATATATATATTTTTAGAATTTGTCACTACTAACATGGATACTAATGAAAGGTTGAAAAATTGATCATTCAGAAGGAGATCTCTACTATAGCATTGTGTTTCCACGCACACACATATGGTGTGCAATTTTTATGGCCTACATGTAAGCTATTTGTAGGGGTAAACACATACAAGGATGTGTTCCAAGTGGCCTAATGTGCATGCATATGCTAACTGATGGACCATCCCATGAAGTTGGAATCCCTGTGCAAAATTACGTTCACACTTTCTCTTTTCTCTGCATGTGCGCACATCTGACAAAAATTTAAAAATATTAATTTTTCCAAATACGCATACATTTGGTGCATACACACTATCCATTATTTCTGAAACTGCATACAAGGGCGCATTTTCATTATGCACTGCACTTTCCTTCACACACTACAAACACCTCAAAATAGACCTTTGCATTGCTTTCACAGTGCATACACAGCGAGTATGAAGCTGCCTTAACACTTCACTCAGTAGAGCTACATGTATTCAACTTCAAGGGGTTGGCCTAAATTTCAAAAATAAAACAGAAAAAAAAAAATGAAAAATTTATTAACCTCCCTGGCCTAGGCCTACATCATGTCTGTAGGCCTATTACCTCCAGCTTTTCCTACCTCCATGCTCCAACCAACCATTAAACTTCCTGAGGTCAGAGAATGGAGGTTTCTACCTCCATGGTCAGCTCGGACACATCATCGGCACAGAGGGTCACGTTATTGCTGGCATGGGCGCGGGTCGACCATCGACGTAGCAACTTAACTCCCTTCCTGGTAATGTGTTATGGTCATGCCCATTCTAGCTGTTCAGGACCGATATTGATCAGACCCATTTTCAGATTTTGTTACAACATGCTTTAACTTGAGTGCAACAACTGTAATTCTTTTAGTCGCATGCTCCTTTCTTTCAAAAACATACCTTTGCGATGTACCTTTCGGGTTAAAATGTGGTAAGAGAGTCGTCCGATCGGCCGCACGCGTTCACGGTACACACACACACACACACGTACATGCACGTGAGATACGAAATTGTGTCAATCTCGATCCCAACTAACTAGGTATGCCTTTAATTTGCAAGCACAAATGTCCATTCCCTGGGTACGTAGCTTTACGAATGTTCTGGAATCAATGGTCACATGGTACGCGTTCAACCAATGGTATGATTGTGCTACGTTTCCGCCGCGAAGACCTAGCACTGGGGGATTTTCGTTTGCTAAACAATAAGGCAGATGATCAAAATAATTTGTGACACCGTCAAATATAAAAGTTTTTTTAGTGTTATAAACCTTGTTGGTTAGACTTCGACCCAGCCAAAGAGATTTTTGACTAAGCACTGTACTACAATCAGATTCTGACTCTTCAGTCATCGAATTCTAATAATCCCAGTTTATCGAATTCAAATTTATTTGTTTTCGACACCCCCTTTCCCTCACAAAGTCCTGGTTATAACGAATTAATTTTCCTGATCCCTCCAATTTTACTAAAACGATCGACGAGAGTTGACGGAAATCCTAATATTGAATGCCTTCTGTACAAGGAAACTTGACGGGTATAGGTGATCCCAAGGACAAATTTTCAGACTTTGAACATTCCTGAATTGTTATCACATGTAATAATACCGCCGTAGCAGCATCCAGAAAAGTATAAGTGAGCTCTACACGATTATTAATTTCAGTACTCCAAAGAGAAATAAACACAAATTTATCGAGGTTTAATTCGATTAGAACGATTTAAATATAAAAGCTAGGTGAAAACACTGAGGAAATGTGGGTCTTTAGAGGCCCCTTAGTTTCACTTTTTGTAACTTTAAATTAAAAAAAATAATAAAAAAGGATCTCACTCTACTTGGATAGGATACAAAGGCGTTTTTTGTTTCTGTTTCATTCTGTTTTGTTTGTTCTTGTGCAACAATGAGCCAGTTTCAACCAAGAAAGTATTTTTCTTTTTCGAACAAAGCACGCCAGTGGGTCAGCGTATATGAAAGACTATCGTGAGTCATGCAGTACGGCAGTGTGTCGTCAACTTCTGGCTTAAG